ACGCGACTTCGTTAAATTCCTTAACGAATGTTCCGCAGACATTGTCAAAAAATATGCCCCTCAAGGCATCAACTGGCAATATATACCACCCAGCGCCCCCCACATGGGCGGCTTGTGGGAATCTGCAGTGAAAAGCTTTAAAATCCATCTAAAGAAAACTGCTGCAACCCACAAGTTTACTTTTGAAGAATTCACGACGCTTTTGGTGCGAATTGAAGCAGTCCTCAACTCGTGGCCTCTGTCCGCACTTTCCCAAGACCCAGCTGATATGACATCACTTACTCGGGTCACTTCCTTCGAGGTGCACCGCTGTCGGCCATTCTCGAGCCTAATGCGGAAGACCTCTCTCTACTAAACCGGTGGGAGAAAGGCAAAGCACTTCACCACCAATTTAGTCGCCGCTGGAAAGAAGATTACCTCAAAGATCTCCAGAAGAGATAAAAGTGGAAGCCAGGCGACCTCGTCGTGATCAAAGATGATTCGCTCCCCCCACCGAGTGGCGATTGGGACGAATCGAGAACGTTCGCCACGGCCCTGATAACTACATACGTGTCGTAGAAATAGACTGGAAAAAGGCGCAGAAGAATCCGCGCAACCAGGCGCCGCAACCGCCGCGCAAGAAGGCGGCGCAGCGGACGATCACGCGCACTCCCCAAGGCCTAAAAACGGCCAATACCAGGGCCGCACCACCCACCGCGTTCTGGGTAACACAATCCGCGCCCTGAAAGAGCTGCAGGAGACACTCAGAAACGCATTCCTGCAGGGCGGGGATGATGTTTAAGCCACCGCTTAAACGTAATTTCAGCGGCTGTGCGCGTATCCTTTGGCCGTAACTATGTGGAGTCGAAGCGACTCCGAAAATGATTCCCGAGCGCGCACGGCCGCCTACTATCATCGTGCCAAATTAGCGACACGTCAGTCCAGCAATAAACGTCGGTCTACGCGCACGCGCCCTTCAAAACCTATTTGTGAAATAAACTGTGTCTTCACAGCTGTAAATATACAGACATATACATAGATTGCTATATACTTGTAAACTGAAAGTTTAAATATAATCAAACATTTTGTGAATTGAATCTAAAAATTTAAAACAAAGTCTTTCCTTGTATCGGAAAAAGTGTGTGTGTGCAAGGTGAGTGCGAAAGGCGACCAGTGGATTTATTCACATTGTTTGCTTACTGTCCAATATTTTTTTTTTATAAAAAAAACAGCTTATTATCTAACAAAAACTATATAAACCCAAATTTCAAACTGAGAAAAATTAGAGGAAATTCAATAAAATTAGAGCAAACTTTTTATTAAGATTATTGACGGTGCCAAGCATTTTCTTCCATACAAAGTGTGTTCGAAAATTTTTTTGTATGGAATAAAATAATAACACTATTCGCAAAAAAAAAGTTATCAAAAATCAACGCGAATTTTTAGATACTTGAAACTTGCACTTTCTTAGGCTAGAATTTAATGCGCCATAAAACTGCGTACCTAAAATTTTTCTAGAAAATCTTAATAAAAAGTTTGTTGGAAAAATTGTTTGCTGAATTTTTCTAATATTTCAATAAAGTTTGAAATTTGGGCTTATATTGTTTTTATTAGACAATGAGCTGTTTTTTTAAATAAAAAAATAATAAACAGTAAACAAACAATGGAAAAAACCGAAACTGGTCAAAATATCGTGTTCCTATTAATTTTTAGATGACTGTATGAGTGTACATATGTAATTTGAAAAGGAATAGACTCTTATGGATCTAAGATCTTATTTTGCATCTCTTATTTTATAAAATGATTTGTTTAAAGTTAATATTAACAATGTGATCAAATTCAGAGTCTCATCAGCTTCTTAGAACGCTTTCATCAGCTTTCTTAGAAAAAGCGGTATCAATTTGGAAGGAGAGCAGTGGAAGTTCTTGGTAAATGCGACGAATATGCCTTTCCATTGATTAACAAACTTCTCCGCATTCTGGTCACACTTCTAGCTAGTAACGCTACTTCCGAAAGAAGTTTTTCAACCCTTCGCCGGTTAAAAACATGGTTGCGTAGTACCATGAATGCAGAAAGACTGATAGGTCTAGCATTTTTACGCGTACACTTAGATATTGAAATTGACACTGAAAGGATAATAGAAATATTCGCATAACGAAAGGAAAAATTGAATTTGCAATTTAAATTATTACAATAAAAACTCTGAATAAGTTGTTAAGTTACCTAATTACATCCTGCATTTTACCAACATTGTAAGCAAGAAAAAAGTATTTATATATATATATATTTATATATATATTGCATTAATAAACCCAAGGTATAACTTTACATCTTGTGTTTTTTTTTTGTTAAATTGTACATGCAAGTGTTTTATTAGACCTTGCACCAAATTCACAAAATGAAAAGCAATATTATATCACAAAACACTTTACTTCACACTTAATAAAAAATACTCGAACCTATATTTGCATGAAAAATAAATTAGGGTTAGATGCTTGTAATTTAACGTTATTTGACAAGTTGATCCCAATCGATCTCAAATTTGTACTTTCTCTATAGAAATTTTAGGTCTATNTCATAGATTGTTTATAATGACTTTTGCTAAAATTTCAAAATCAAAAGTTATCAAAACAAATTCTATGGGACTGAGAAATATTAATTTAAAATTTTTAGCCCATTTATAAAAGCGTTGTATATTAAAAAGTTTTTAATTTAATTTATATTCGTTTCGATTCGAAACGAGTAATCATTCGATCACAAATGCCACGATTCGGGCCCTGAATTGCTTAATACATTGTTTACATTACTAATGAACCTCGAATCGCGGTTATTGGATGTGGTAAAGATTTTTGATAATAAAATTTTACGGTAACCAAATTATCGGTTACTTGCAGAGTATACCTGTAACCATGGTTCAATAATGAAAGGTTTTGTAAGAAAAACTTTCTCTCGCTCTAATTTTATCAATGACACTCCCACCCTACTCCTAAAAACAAAAACAGTGATATTTCTTTCCAAATTTCTTTGCCGGTTTTAAGAACATTTTTAATTTTTAGTAGTGAAATTTTTACTTTTTAAATTTGAAGAAATGTTTGTTCTTCATTCGCTGGGGGCAACATGACAAAATGGATGAGAATCGTTAGACTACAGAAATTCAATGTAGGCTAAAGAGACGAAATTCCCTTAAATGCCGAAATGTATTTGTCGATATTCGTGGAGACCTCTTGACTCTGCCAAGTCCCTGTAAAGTAAAGCGCGCGTTCTGGTAAATGAGTCAACGAAGGTATTTAGGTATTGTCCTCCACAACACAATCCTGGTGTCTCCGAATGAGACTTTGACGCAATAAAATATTGGCAAGCCGCGTCCATGGGCTCGATAGTAACACAGGCCAGTAGAGCTGTCAAACTATCGATAGTCAAGTCCATCGATGTTTTGCGATAGTCTTAAGGGTGACTATCGATACTATCGATAGTATCGACCCATTTCATATGTTTTTCTAAATCCATTTATTTTTCGTTATCATGCTTTTATTAATTTGTTTATTTTATCGGCTCATGGTTGCATTTTAGATTCGAGAAATATTGCTAGAAATTCATTCGCTGTGTAGATAGTCAAAAAGCGATTTCAGAAATTTTCTCTGCAATTCGCCTTTCGGAAATAAAAAATGTCTTTACATGCAAGGTGCCACTGCTCATGCAACTGCTTTCTGCAATTTCTCAATTTGACAGTCTTTTGAAATACATATACTGCATTGCCCGGTATGACACGCTCTTAAAACGGCAATATAACCTCTGCTATTTCCACGCTAAAAATAAAAAAATGGCGCTTTTGGAAATAATGCAATGAACCAACTAAACAGATTACCCAGCACGGCATCCGCGTATTTGTAATTGCATTTGAGAAAAAAATAATAATAGCAAATAACGTAATTTTTTCATCGGTTGTTTCATTAACACACATGGTTTCATACCGTTTTATTCACATGGCGGCGAAAAAATGACGTCACTGCAAAAAAATACTTTCTCGCACACCGTCCTAGGTGATCTTTATTCGTTCGTTCCTGAAATAATGCTGCCAATTTTTGTTCTCTTTGAACCAATACGTGCAAATATCAAAAGCGCTAGGAAGGAGAATACGCTATCAATGAAGCGATAGTGGCGATAGTACTAAAACTATCGATAGTTATTTCAAGTGACCAGACTATCGATACTATCGATAGTATCGTCGATAGTTTGACAGCTCTACAGGCCAGCTCGGTTTAGGCAATGCCGCGATGTAATTGCACACTTACGGCACTTCTCATTTGACGATGTAGATAACGTACCCTGTCTCAGTCGTTCAGTAGCGTGTTCCTTTTATTCTTCCGGAGTTCATCCGGCACGAATCGCCAATCGCGACTGTGTAAGCCAATGTTTAATATTCTGACGGTGGTATAATCTCCCCAGCACACTAAAAGTGCAACATCAAAGAACTCGAATTACCATATTCGAAGCAATCGAGCCATAACCGCGAAAGAAACGTAAGCTCCAAATGTTTTTATTTGTCGTGTTTTTAATAAATATTCCATAAGTTTTCCACAAACAAATAGCTTCTTCATATCCATCATCTGGAAAACAAATACAACAAAAAAAATCTCAATGTGAACCATTCATTCTCGAGTTAAGCGCCGTCGAAAGTTTGGCATACATATACATAGAAATATTTATTTTTAGTAACAATCAGGGCTTATATTCGATGTAAATAAGCTTGTTTAAATTAGATAATTTTTGTTTTAAAATACCACCATTCACTATTATCCACACCTTTTTGTGGAATTTAGCTACCATTTTAGGAAGTGTGATTGAATTCTTTCCCTTTTCTCCTGCTTCCAAAAACTATCCCTGTGGGTGGGAAAAATTCTACTTACAAAACCTTTAGTAATTGAATCATGACCTGTAACTATATCTTTTTGTATGCTCTTTGATATGAGTATGACACGTTTTATAACGTTCTATAAGCTAAATTTTTTTATTGCAGGTTGGTACAGGGGGCATGGACTCTAAAGTGAAGGCTGCTACATGGGCGTTGGATCGTGGTGTTAGTGTAGTGATTTGTAACGGCATGCAAGAGAAGGCGATCAAAACTATAATTGCTGGCCGAAAAGTTGGTACATTCTTTACTGAATCCACAGAAAGTTTCTCGACTCCAGTAGATGTGTTGGCTGAAAACGGTGGGTGCATGAGTTTTAGATAGATCATATATCATTTGGTGTGTTTTGAAATAGTTTCTTCCTTCACCGCCATTAAAAATTTACTAACTTAAATATGAAATATACATATAGTCCTAGAAAAAATCGACGGGATATTAACCCTACCTAACAAAATTAAAAAAAGTCGTCTAGGTAGGATGGTTCGCGCATTTAGTCGTCCAAATGATAGAAAATTGCCTACATAAAATCGATTTATTGATAGAAACAAATTTTTCGTCAGTTTTACAATGTTTAGTTAATATGTTGCCAAAACCATATTTCTACGAATTAAAAAGGGCGTTATAAGTATAAACAACTCCAGAAATTTAATTATTTTTCATTATTTATTTCTCTATTATGCGGCCGCCTATTTACAGCATTACCTAACGTCCAGAATTTATGCGTATAGAAGTGGTAAATATTTATGGTAATACAATTTTCACGTTACAAAATCATCGGTAACTTGTAGCAGGCGTATTCTGCGCAGATAACTAAGTTGTTTTAACCGGTATTAAAGTTATCGTTTTTGTTAATAAATTTTTTTTATATTTTTCTGTTACAAAGTGTTCAGCAGCGATCGGAACGTACGTACAACAACAGACATAGTACATATCGACCCCTGATTGCGATTTTATCGTAAGCGACAAAAGGTAAATTTTATAGGTGAGTTTTTCTTTAATTCTTCCTTAAACAGTGTAAAAATTTAATTGGATTTAAATGAACAACAACATTATTGAATGCTAGCTTTTTAATAGGACAATTTATTTTTTGCATACCCCATTGTCTAATGGTAAAATGGCGCTTACAATATTTTTCTGGAACATGCTGAGAGGTAAGTTATCAAAGAATTGGAGCTTGCGATAGTTTTAAGTTGTATAATCAGGACATTTAAAAACGTAGGAGTGCTTAAAGATTGTTTGAAAAAACTGCATTTTAAGTCAATTAAGTATAAACACTGCCACTCAGCAGAATAATGGGGCTATTCGGAAATGCAGCAAAACAAAGCATCAGTCTATTTTATTTCTAAACTTTAATTGATGGAAATTTGCAATATGCGTAAACGCAGTTTGATGCCGAATTGGAACTTAGTTGGGCTTTTCCAGCAATTATAGTTTAGAAGTAAAAGACACTTCAGACTTCATTTTATGCAAATTTCGAAAACAGTTGTTATATTTCTCGACTCGTCGTGTGTTTTAAAAGTTGCTATTGGAGAAAAAAATTGCTAAATGAAAACTTTCAATCTAGAGACTAAACTCAACCACTGCAATTTTATAAAAAGAAGGCTGAAGTGCAAGCGTTATGATAAGTTATCTTGGCCAATATATAGAGATAACGTGGAGCGTAGCGCTGAGCACTTTAATGATACTGCTTTCAATTTTTTTTCGAAAGTATGCACCAAAACGTAATACAATTATGGTTCACTAAAGATCCTAAAAAACTGAAAAATAAAAAGTATCATTCTTTTAAACCTTATAAAAGAACGGGCTTACACAGTGATTACGTAAAGTACTCAGTTTTGCGGCATAGCTACTTTGCATTAAATAAGAAATGTTATAAGTCATATTTATGTAAAATTAAAAAGAATTTAATTAACAATCCTAAATGATTTTATGGTTTCGCAAATTCAAAGCGTAAGGTACATGGTTTTCCGTCCGCTATGCATTATCGCAACACTGTGTCTAGCGACAGCCAACTCATTGCCAACATGTTTGTCCAGTTCTTTAGGTCCAATTATTCTGTAGACTTCCCCATAAGTGGAGACTATCCGTACGAGCTTTGTCCAATTAACTCTACTTATATTCCAGTAATATCTTCCGATGAAGTTTTACACCATTTAAAACCCTTAAAAGCGTCACCTGGTCGTATTCCGAACTGTTTCCTTAAAAACTTATGTCTCAAACGGTTTTAGAGAAAATGCTCATACCGACGTAATATACACCGATTCCAGTAAAGCTTTTGACAAAGAATGTCACTCGTTACTCATCCGTAAACTCGACTTAATCGGCTTTCAGCCCAGTCTTCTTCAATGGATTTTTTCCTACTCTCTGATAGAACACAAAGAGTTATTTTTAAAAATTGTTATTCCAACATCATTAAAGTTTCTTCAGGAGTTCCTCAGGGAAGCCACCTTGGTCCGATTCTGTTCCTGATATTCATTAATGATATTTCTTCTATAATGAAATATCCTAAAATTTTAATGTATGCTGATGATGCGAAACTTTTTAAAACATTGTCCTCTATCGAAGAAAGGTCTTTGTTACAATCGGATCTAAGCAACGTGGTTAGTTGGTGTAATACAAATTATATGCCACTTAACCTCAATCAGCTGTTTATTCAATTTCAATTTTGTCGATCTTGGTATCACAATGGATGCCAAACTCAATTTCAACCTTCATTTTAATGTTACAGTCAATAAAGCCAAAGGCGTTTTTGCATTTGTAAAGCGATGGTCAAAAGATTTCAAAATCCTTATGTTACAAAAGCTCTTCTTACCACTTTAGTTAGACCTATACTAGAATACGGATCTATTGTTTGGAATCCCTGCTACCAAGTTCATTCAGAAATTATTTAATCAATTCAAAAACAATTCTTACTTTTTGCATTGCGTGATTTTAACTGGGATTCAGACTACAATGTCTCCCCTTACACCAGTCGTCTAAAGCTCATAAATTTGCCTACACTCGCAAGTCGTAGAGAAATGCTAGGTATAATATTTATCGTAAAATTAATGACAGGCTTGATTAATAGCCCGGCCCTTCTGGCTGAGGTTTATTTTAATGTTCCCTCTCGAGTGTCAAGACACTTTCGGCCTCTATTTTTGAAGCCATGCAAAACTAATTTTGAACTAAACGAATCATACCGTTGTTTATGCCAAGATTTTAACTCTCATTCCAGCACGTTTAACATATCGGACTCGGTTTTTGCTATAAAGAAAACCATCATTTCCACTCTCAATAAATGAAATACTATCTTTAGCATATCCAATCAGCTGATGAATTTAATTCTGTAGCTGAATTGTTTTAGATCTCGACACTTAACAAACTGGTGTTGCAGGTGTTCTNCCGGAATCTAACTTTCGTTATAGCTAAAATATGCTAAAATGCGAGAGCTTACATTTTATCCGCTTTTCGCTAAAAATAGATTAGCCTAAATTTTAGCATCCGCAAGTGGCGCTATGCAAAAACTGCAGCTGTCAAAATTTGCTTGCATTGTTGGTGGTAAATATTTCATCTCCTGTAGCGTAACCATGGCTAAGTTACAAAGACACTCGCACCGATTAACGGTTTAACGTATTATTTTTGTTGTCATAGAACTTTTGTTATTTTTTTATAAAAAATATAGTTCATTCTTTAACAAAAACCGTGTAAATCCAAGTTTCCAAATTTGTGCAATATTAAAAAAAATCAACAAATTTTCGTGCAAATTTCGAACTTTTTAAAAATTCTAAAAAATCAATCGAAATTTTTAGCCATTTGAAACTCATACTTTATTCTATTAGAATTCAATGCGCCACAAAACCGCGTACTCGGAATTTAATTAAAAAACTCGAAATTTTAATGAGAATTTGTTGAATTCTTTTTTAAATTGCATAAATTTTTAAGGCAGTGTCACTCGATTGGTACATTTGTACAGATTTGTACATTTTTATATTGGGCTGTTGGTAAAAAAATGCGACAATAGTCAAAAGATTGGTACAATACAGCGATGTTCTATTGAAAATTTCAACAAATTAAATTTCGTGATTGGGATAAAGAAAAATATTTTGGGTTACGATTTGCACCAAATTTTGGAAAATACCCAATCGTGTGACACTGCCTTTAACATATTTAACATATTTATTTAAGAAATGAGGCTGTATCTATAAGACTTTTGAGTCTTTTATAATACATCAACAGGATGTAAAATTCAATGTTTGTACAAAGTAAACTTAAAACTAACAATATATCAAATAGCAACAAAAAATATTAATATTTGTATTTTAAATTAAAATTAAAATTAAGACTTAAAATTTAAGGCCAGATATAATAAAAGGTCAGTCATATAAATATAAATACGAACATACAAAATTTGGTTTAATAGTAGAAGTGACAGAGACAGAGAAATGATAACAGTTTAATCGCAACCACGTTCATTGTGCAGATTTAAAGTAATTATGCAATACCTTTTTGAAGTTACTCCGATTAATCACTGCTTTTACGGATTCAGGAACTGAGTTCCAGAGCCTTACAGCATTAATGAAACTTGTTGAAACTATACGGATGTTTTTAAAGAATGAACTATAAAAAACTAACCAAAATTAAATAACAGCAAAAATAATATTTTAAAACTTGTGAAAATTTGGTGCGGCTATAATTTGTTCGACTACTGTACATAAGTTGACTATGATTACTCGGCCATGCTATCATAGTAGCACAATGCCACTAAGCGCATTTTAAAATTTTCAGGCAATAGCCTCATGCGATTATCGCTTATATTTTTTCTTATTTGTGTAAAATATTTTATTTTTATCTGTATTTTTCTTTTAATCAAAATTGTTGAAATAAAAGTGAAATTAAAAAAAAAATTGCCAGAACATCTATACTAATTATATAAAGAGAAGTCCCTTTTTTTTGTAACAGGTAAACTCGCGAACGTCTGGTCCGATTTTCATGAAATTTTGTATATATATAGCTTTCAGCAACCATCATGTTTTAGGCCAAAAAAAAAATTTACTTTTTCTCGGTAGGTGTATGCGTAGAATAGCATATAGGATCCTTCTCGCTGCGAAGTGGACCAGGGACCGATTTATTCGAAAAATCGTATCAAGGGGCGAATTCGTCACTAGGCAAGTTTTTTTTGCGACAATCAGAAACAACGGATACAGCCAAAAATGTATTCATACGTTTGTTTTCATATATAATGTAATTCATATATTCCAAGAAAAGGCTTTACTTCATAAGATATTCTTTTGTTCCTAATGAACCAGTATATATGCTTCGGTT